TGTTTTTTCTTACAAATGTATCAAATTTTTATGTATGTTTAAAATACAGTTTACAAAATTGCACATATACATATTAGCATATTTAACATATATAATATTAATATTCATTCCAGAATTGTACTTTCATTTTTGTCCAGTGATATTATTACTAACTTATTATGTAAACGATTAACGAAAATACTGTCATCAATACTACCCAGTTATTCGCAACAACTGTAGAAGCTGGACTCTTGTATTCTATAATACGAATCGCTTCGTTCAACCTTGAATTAATCAAAATGGAATAGTTGTTATACCAGAGTAGGTTTTCTCTAGCAAAGCTAATGCCATCGTTGATACTGCTTGTTATATTTTTGATTCCACCTTCTTTGGCATTTAATTCGTTCAACTGAAAATTAAATTGAAAAATTAAACAAATAAGTGATTTGTAATTCTCTTAATTGAAATTACCGTAGGCATCGTTTAGATTTAAAACGAAAGAAACGAGATAATTCTTATGGAGTTAGCCGATATTTTTACGTATAGTGTGCGCATTCTGTGAATTTCCACGAGTGAAGAGCGTAACTAATAAAAACGGAAAATTGTCGACATTTAAAGAGTTATGATTTTCGTAAAAAACTCATATCTTAAGTTTCTTTTTCTCAAAGATTTTTTTAAATTATGTAACATGTGAGAAAATTGAAAAAATTTCAAACTAATCCTGAGAACATTGATAAAATTTTCTGTCCTTTAACGATCTCTTAAAACTTGTTCTCAATTACATTGAATATTTTGAATATTACAATTAAATGACAAAAATTCAAGAAATCTTAATGTTTCGTTATCGAATCCTCAAAATTCAATAAAATGTTGAAAAAAAAGAAGAAAACAGTAAATTCTAAAGGATTGATTAGAAAGAGGAAATTCCGGTCTGCAAGATGGCGGTGAATCTAGTCGTGAAAAAAATTTTTCCACGTTTCTAGGGACGAATTCCGAATTTTTATAATTTCATTTTATGTCACGCTCTTCGCTGCAACTATTGTACTGTAAACAATAAATGAATAAACTTACCTTTGCAATTTGTTTTTCCGTGGAAATACGAGATGCCAATTTAGAAATCAATGCTCCAACATCGTTCCAGTTCCCGTAACTGGAAATAGAAGTACCGTATGTATTTACGTAATTTATGTTTACCAATTGTTCACATTAATTAAATGTGGATCGTTCAATTGTTTATTGAACTTACTATTCGCGTAATCTCTCGTGATAATTCACTACGAAGTCTAGCATCGTATTCACTCCGTATTCTCCAGAGTTGTAGATGGAAGCGAGTACGGCGTTGAAATCTTGCTTTCGAATGTCGCCAGTGTAATCACTTTTCAATGCTTTGTCGATGTAGCTGTGAGAAGAGGAAGACAGATAACTAAACTTAATTAAACTTAAAAGTTAGATAGATTCTACTATATCTTGTTCAATTAATCTCGTGCTCGATTTCGCGCGATTGTCTACACTTTCCTTATCTCAAATAAGATTCGCTCAACATCTTTAATTATCAATGACTAGTTCATTTACACAATCATTGATACAAGTAATGATTAATTATGATACAAATAATTTAAATAATCCAAAGAGTGTATAAATGAGTTTTTATATAATGTCTTTTTCTAATGATAACATACTTATACAGTATTTTCTTATCCTTAGAGCAACCCAGAGCATCCAGTATGATCTTCTTCTCCGAAGCAAAGTTCGTCTTCTGATACTGATCCCATAGGAAATACCAGTCGTTGGGATCTCCATTTCTTATGGTTGTACAATAAATGGCTGCCTTGGTATCTGGTGGAATGCTAAGAAATTACATGAAATCATTAATTAATTTCTCCTCGCAACAAGTGTTGGATTCTACTCTCTGGTCTATGTTTCTATATTCTACAAGAATTTTTACAACGAGGTGATATCAAAAATAACCTTGTATTTTACCTGTAAATTTTGCCTTCGTGCCATTCGGCGAACTTCCGGACGGATGTTTCCACGCAATGCGTATGACTCAGTTTGCACATCCACGACAGTATCAATTCTCTGTTCAACTTATTCAAGTGTGATTCCTCCTTCACGTCATCGAAGCCGAGTTTCACGTACACATTTGTTGCCAATAGGAGAATATACTTCTTCAACAGATCCTCGCCGTTCTGTCCTTGATATCGTTGCAAAAGGAAACTCATCCCATTGAAGAAGGCCTTCCACGGTACGTAATCATGCTCCTCCAACAGATACGTTGCCCCCTGTAACACGACCTCGTAGTCGACCCAGCCAGCTCGTGCCAGATTCAACAGATCGTCGATGATCTGAGCTCGATTTGTCACGTGTATCACCGTGTGATTGGAGTTCAGAGCTTCGATCAAAAGTTTCCACGACTTCGTGTCGTAGTTCACTCGATAGTAACCACTCTGTTGGATGTTCAGTATGAACCATTTATCCGGAGACTCGATTGAAATCTTCTCGTAATCTCCTTGCAACCAAGTCTTGACCGCGGTCGATAAGAAGTTTTGTTCTGTAGCGGTTGTCATCGTAATGGGTATCCAGAAATCCTTCGTGTCCTCGTACGTTGAGAAACTTTTCTGCACGTTGAGAGAGAATCGTTCTGGTTAATTAATTAATATCTGTGTAGAGGTGATCTCGAAATTCGTCGGGTCTCGATCATTCTCCCCGTTTCGAAACGTCGGGTTTCTGAGATTTCTGAAATTTCCCGGGATCTCGAAATAAATTCGATGATTTCTACGTGATTTGTGATCAAAGAAAAAAATGAAATTTTCTCTCAGTTTTCTCGAAAACGAGGGCTTTAATAAAAAAAATTTATTCCTTATTTTGTATGTAAAATTATTTACCAACCGATTGATCGACAATTGTCTTTGTCTAATGGGCGAGCAAAAGAGTACAAGTTGAATTCCAATCAGAATAAATAATTAAATATTTCATGTTCGAAGGTATTCAATAAAGATGAAAAGAAATCGTTACAGCAAAGAGAAAACTTTGATCTTCAAAATGAATCTAGTCACGAAAATAATTTTTCAATACTTTTTAAAAATGTCTGAAATTTAAGGATAAAAGGTGTCCTTATTTTTTCATCTGTTGCACGATGTGAAAACATCTTCGAAAAGGCAACAAATCCAGGATTGTGAAAGTCGAGGCATGTCGACCATGTTCTTTATCTCATTGTTAGAGCAACTTATTGTTAGACGTACCTGGCTCAACGTTATTGTACCATCGTCTGACTTGTCCGCAAAAACAACCGGATATCCTCGTGTATTGGTCCAACCGAACATGAACTGCGACACGTTCTTCGGCCCGCGTTGCTGATCATTCGTTATGTCTGTCGTGAATGCTTGCCAAAGGTCGTCCGGCTTCGCGGTGCTAAACTTATTGTTCTCCAAATACGTGGACACGGCTATTTTGAATGCTTCCGGTTTCAGTGATTTTTGTAACATTCGTATGACGCTAGCCGCTGTGAAAGTTAATTCGTGAAAGTTAATATGTTGATCGTAATCAGTTAACGATGATTAGTATTAACCCTTTGCACTCGGAACAATTTTCAATATAACCTACCAGCAACTCCG